GGACCGGAGGGTTACTATGACCTTGTAAGCTTAATTTTCAAAGCACAGCATTATGTAATTTGTTAAAAAATAATTCTAGGTATTTTGCAAATATTTCAGAGTCATTTATTTTCGCAATGACGCAGTTGACCTTGGATCCAAGCAGACGAATAAATATTTCACTAAATTTGTGAGAAATTGAGAAAAGAAGAGGGTGTGGTGGAAAGAAAGAAAGGAAAAAAAAACAGGGGATAGGAACGTGTCAAAAACTTTGGAGAGAAGTGTAGGACGAAGAAGAGAACAAAGTCAGATATAGAGAGAAGAACAGAGAGAGAGAGAGGGAGAGAAAGAGAGAGAGAGAGAGAGAGAGAGAGAGGGGGGGAAAGAGAGAGGTTAAGTAGAAAGGGGGACATTTATATTGTAAAGAGTGAATGAAATAGAGAATGAAGAAATGTTCTTTGAAGGGAAAAGTAATAATAGAAATGAAAAAAAATGAAGGACAGAAAACGAGTTCTGAAAAAGAAGTAGAGGGAGTAGACAGAGGAAGAAGAAAAAAGAATATCTTTTTTTCTTTCTTTTTACAAAATGACAGAAAAGAAGGAAAAAGGGTAGAAGTAAGGGAATAGAAGAAATGAAGAACAAAGACAACGGGAGAAAAGAGAATGAAAAAAAAAGAATGAAATGAATAAACAAAAAAAAAAGAGAATTAATGGAGAAAGGAAATAAATAAAAACAAATAAAGGCAAATAAATATAAAAGGAAAGGAAATAAAAAAAGGAAAGTACAAATGAAGAATAAAGCGAGAAGAAGCGAAAAATGAAATAATAAAAAAAGAAAAAAACAAAGAGTGAACGAAGAAAAAAGGGAATAAATGAAGAAATGTAGACCTTAGGAATAATGAAAAAAAAAGAAGGAAAATGGCGAAGGAAATAAAAAACAGGTAATATTTGGAAGAAAAATGAAGAAAATAAAGGAAAAAAAACCTGAGATTTAGAAGAAGTAGAGAACGAATAAAGAAACGCAAAACAAAGAAGAAGAAAAAAGTAATGAAAAAGAATGGTAAAACGAAGAAGAAACGATGAACAAATCCAAAAAGGGAAAAGGGACAAAAAAAAAAAAAACACTTGAAATTTAAATTATTGAAATTTGCACGTCTTGGAGTTTTCCGGACTCGATTTTTCATGTGAGGCAAGGAATAATTTTATTGAAAATCCTGTAATGTCCGTAAGGATATGAAAAACAAAATTCAACATTCATGATTATTTTTCCAGGTATAACGGCGATTGGTTCAAGGTAAGATTTTAAAAAGATCGTTATTATTATTAATACTTTGAATCTGGTGTGTACTCATTTCTTTCCGGGTCCCGCCCAGAGACGTAAGGTTAGAAATGGCATCATGACATTTTCCACTAATCACACACACACACACACACACACACACACACACACACACACACACACACACACACACACACAAACACATATATATATTTTACATAGATAAAGCCCTTCGTAAGCTGTGGGCTGTACATGTGAAAACAATTTTTTTTTAATTTCTTTAAGGCATGGGCTACCAGGAATCCCTTGAATGAGTCAATTGGATTTTTTCCAATCAACCGGAGGGCTCCAACTACAACAGGGATTGTTGATCTTCTCCTGTAACACATTTTTGGGATTTCTATTTCAAGGTCTTTGCATTTTTATAGCTTTTTGAAGATCTTCAATTGCTTGTGTGACATGCTGCAGAGTCCTTGCAGCAACCACGCTCTTGATCCATGGCAGTATTACCTCCTCCGAGCACTTGACGTAGGCCTCCGTGTTAAGACTGGGGCCATGTGTGTAGATAAATGGAGGCATAATATCGCTGCCACTAGTCATCACTCCAGACACCTTTGTAATCACAATTAGACTCACATAACTCTTTTCGAATCTTCTGTGCAGTCATCAGACTGACACCCAAACACTCTGAAATGTTCGTATTGGAGCTTCCAGTGCGAATGCCAAGCAGTACAGCATGTTGTTTTCGAATTTCTGTCGTAGTGAATTGCGTCATGGTGCTCTTTTTCTCACAGACTGTGCCCAACTTATCCTACGAAGTCAAAAAAAAAAAAAAAAGAAAAACGCACTTGCTTGAAAATTAAAAATATAAAATTTACTGAAAATTTACCCATATCATATACATCTATATATATATATATATATATATATATATATATATATATATATATATATATATATATATATATATATATATATATAGAGAGAGAGAGAGAGAGAGAGAGGAGGGAGGGAGAGGAGGCACGTAGGGTAATGGATAGCGGCTTGGATTGAGGAATCGGAGAGCCGAGTTCGAATTCCAGTCGAATCCATTACATTCACTTACGTCCTAATACCCTTGGGAAAGGTGTGAATCCTCTTCTTTTCCCTACAGCTATGGGTAAATAGCCTTGGATGGCAACTGGTCTAGGAGAAGGAAAACTCTGAATTCAAAACCTGCGGAGGGTCGTTTGGGGACCTTGTG